AAAAAAAAAGCCTACTTCTAGAAATGCAAATTGCTATTAGTTTTTTTTTAGGTTTCAAAAAAGTCTTCCAGAATTTGGGAAGGTTCTTTGATTGATCGTTTTTTTCTTTGAAAACTTCCCCTTAAGTTGGCTTTTATCTTACTTCTTATTTGAATGGCTTTTTTTCTGCTTTGATTATGAGGTTTTTTAAAAGCTGTTCAAAATTCTCCGGAAGATTTGGCCTTTCATGTCAGTATTTATAATCTGTGGAGCATTTAACGCATTTGATTGAAGCTAGGCGGTCATTTAGTCAAAACGGCAGGTTGCTGTAATTGTCACTCCATGGGGGAACAACCCTCAGATTAAAAAATAGCTCTTGAAAAAATTCAGAAGTTCTGTTTGGTATAGTTGCTATGACGATGAAAAGAGACCAGGTGAATGTCTTGGTAGAATATGAGAACTGTCCACAGGCTAATCCCAATTATACGTTTAAATTTTTTCCCTATTTCGTCCCTAACTCCCGTATGAGTACTGCACAGTCTTTCTAATATATACCACGTATTCTTCCTCTCAAGTCATTATGTTCCTCTTTGAACTGTTTTGATGTGCATAGAGATCTCTTTTGAATGAATATTTCTAGTTAAGTATGCCGGAAAAAAACTGAATGGCGGTCACTGAAAGATGAACTTTTTCATTGATCTTGTTTATTTCCTCTGTAATGTCTTTAAAAAATCTCAGCCTTCAGAGGCAATAACTTTCTCATGTTGATGTAGATATTGGAAATACTAAAAAATTTTGCGAAGAAAAGTGAAAAGAGCTGTTCAATGTTAAATGCAGCATAAATAAGCAAAAAAATGTTCGAAATTAAGGAGTTACAACTTTGTGTGGTTCCGTTCTGGCTCTGCCTTATTGCTACTTTTAAAGGTAGTTTAGAGACTTTGTAAAAATCTGATATTATTTTTTATCATAATATTGTCACCGAATCTGGTTTATTTTTGTTGGTTATTTTTTGTTTAAAGAGTGCCATTTGGTGTGTGATAAGCGGCTCATAACAGCGTTTTTAAGTCACTGTTTTTTTGAAATTTTATAGGGCAAGAAGAGAAAAAGGTTGCATTCTTCGATGTTAAAGGCAAATTAAATTGGGAAATCGCAGTAAAGTCCGAGTAAAAAAAAGTTTAAATCATTCAGTAGCACCAGTAACTTGGTAATTGAATATTACAGTATAGTAGAAACAAGGTGAACATTAGGCTTGCTGAAGTATTTCCATACAAGAATTCTCACTGATCACTGACAAACAACACTGTAGGCGTTCGGGACTACAACGGCCAAATGGTGTGAACTAACCGGAGCGCTATACTTGATTAGCGGCTTCGGAAGATGAAGTGAAGAGGTCAGGGCAGAAGTTGAGGTGTCGATGAGCAGCTTGAAGATATGGTAGCAAAAAAGTGAAGTCTGACATTACAATAAATGTGGTAATTGATAGGATGATTGATAGGGCACCAAAAACGATGCGAAAAGCATCACCAAATGTACGGACCTGAAAAATAAAAATGGAAAGAAGAATGTTATAGAAGACCCGGTACAGACGGAACCGAGCAAAGATCAAATGAGGTGTTGTTAGAATCATTAGTTTGCTATGTATTAGCTTAGTGATAACTGTTGAGGGGCAGTTGGAAGCGGGTTTTTTTTTTTTTGATCTTCGTTAAACAGTGACTGATTGCTGAAATTATCGAGGATTATGTGTTGCGGGTAATATGAAATGAGTTTTATTGGCTTAGAGATTATTGCTTAATTAATCAGTCAGCGAAAGCAACAAATGCAACGTTACTTTGAAATGAGCAGATTTAATTTCATTGTTGCCATCAACGCTCTTAACTTGCTCTTTTTAATGGAAATGGTAAGTAATTTCTGCTCTGCTTCTTTTTGTTGTTACTCTAAGTAAAGAATTATAATTATTACATCATTGTAATCTGTTATTTTTAAACAAATTGCTGCAGTATTTCAAAGAGGAAGGAGAAAAGGGCAAAAGGAGAATTTCTTATTTGCTTTATGTCTGTGTGTATTTAAAAAATTAAAATTGAAGGAAAAGGAAAAAGGTGACAATGAACAATAATAACAATAATAATTATAATAAGAATAAAAATAGCAATGATAAGTGTAAAAATAATAACAGCAGTAGTTGAAAAAATTTGCCTGCTAAAATTGCTACAGAAATATTTTTTTTCCATTGCTCTTTCGCGCTGCCCATTCGTGCACCTAAGTTATTTATTAGGCTGATTTTGATCAGAGATAAATTGCTGTTTTGTTTGTATGCAGTTTTAGATGTTATAATTAAGTAATGACAGTAGCTATGGAAACCTTTAGATTGATTGTCATTTTTGTTGGTTAGCAAACCAAATGACATCAGCTGGAAGCGAT